TTCCTGGCAAGCACATGTGCCCTATAGCAAAAACCTCTAAAAAAAAAAAAAGAAAAGAAAAGAAAAACAGAAAAATACATCATGACTGTCCCAACGATCTAATAGTTAGAAGAAACCACTGGGTGAAGGAAAGCACGTGCACACAGAAAAGGAGCAGTCCGTTAATAGAGAGATGCGTTTCATTATAGCGGTGAGCCCCGCACACAGCAGTCGGCCACACAGAATGAGGACAGGTTCACTGCAATGCGACGCGCTTTCTTTGATTTTCAGGACTCGTCACGAGGCTGCGGTACCCAGTCAGTACCAAGGGGAGGAATGCGCCCACCACGGCGGGGTTCAGCTATGGTAACTCGCGGGCTGCTTCTCCTGGAGGGGGGTCTGTCACTCCGGGGCGGTTTAGACCGGTCCAGCTGCACAGTGGGACTGCCTTGGAAGTTTACCGCGCGGGTCTTAGGTGACTGCGCCCACAGTGTAGCAGTCCTAGGGTTTCTGTTCTTGTCGTTATCCGTCATCAGAGGGAGACGTCTCATCAGTGAGCGCTTTATCATGTCACATCTAATGTAAGCGGAAGCCCTTCCCTTTCTTCCTGGCATTGGTCACTCACAGATGGCGGTGACAGAGAAGGCTTGAACCGCATTGTCTGTGTTGCATCTGGCAAAAACCTTACCTTACCAAAAATCAAAAGAGAAAAAATCCCAGGGGAAGGAGTGGAAGTCATTGTTTATTTTTATATTTTTATTTGTTTTTTGAGAGGTTTTTACTAGAGGGCATGTACACTCTCTGGAGAGACAGAAAACGAGAAATCGCCCCCCAGAGGGGATGGCCATGCTGCAATCCGTTCTCCTCCATTCATCTCTCAGGATCTTGGGCACACACACACACACACACACACGCACCTGGTGTGAGGTTTAAGTTACCAGGCCTGGGTCGAACCACAGTCAACTACGTGGGAGTCCAGTGTTGTAACCATTACGGCATTTCCTGGTCCCAGTAACTGCTTACTAAAAAACACCTTAACCTTCAGCTTCATTATTCGTCCATGACCGGCATTTTCTCCCCCTCATTTTACTTACACCACAGCAGCTTAGAAGGGGTGCCTCCTCCCCAGAAAGCCACTTTTCCTGACTGAGCTGCAGGCTGCAATCCTGCCCCGCGCTTTCCCAGCCATTGTTACAGTGTTTTCTGTAGCTCCGAGGAGGGGCCTGGCTGCGGTGTCTCTTCCTCTCCCGGGTCCCGCGGTTCTCCCAATGAACGCATTAACACCTTTCCTGTCTGTCCTACAGAGAAATGGGAGATCAACCCTTCCGAGCTGACCTTTATGCGGGAGCTGGGCAGCGGGCTGTTCGGGGTGGTGAGGCTGGGCAAGTGGCGAGCCCAGTACAAAGTGGCCATCAAGGCCATCCGCGAAGGCGCCATGTGTGAGGAGGACTTCATAGAGGAGGCCAAAGTGATGATGTGAGTTGCTGACTCCTTCCTAGCCGCCCTTCCGCTGTGGAAAGTGGCGCACGGCGCGAGCCCCGCGGGTCCCCTCCCCCCGGTAACTACGCAGTGTGTCTCCCTGCCCAGGAAGCTGACGCACCCGAAGCTGGTGCAGCTGTACGGGGTCTGCACCCAGCAGAAGCCCATCTACATCGTCGCCGAATTCATGGAGAGGGGCTGCCTGCTCAACTTCCTCCGGCAGAGACAAGGCCACTTCAGCAGGGACGTGCTGCTGAGCATGTGCCAGGACGTGTGCGAGGGCATGGAGTACCTGGAGCGGAACAGCTTCATCCACCGGGACCTGGTGCGCAGCCTCCCCACGCGGGGCGGAGTCTGTGGTAACCCTGGGCAGCGAGAGCCGTGGCCGCGGGGTCCCAGTGTCCGTTCTTCCCAGCGCAAACCACCGTGCATCCCTTCATTTACTTCTGGTCAAGTTTATTTATTCTATGAGCAAATGACACTCAGAGAGAGACTGACAGACCCTAACTAGGTGTGACACCGAGATCCACCTGCAGCCCCAGCCAGGCCTGGGTTGTGGGCTCGGGGGCACAGGCAGGTCTTGGGGTGTGAACCTAGTCCCTTCCACTCAGGCTTACAGAGCGTTTGCATTTTACTGCTGTACCACCACTGGGGCCTCCATTATTAATATTTTTTAAAGTTTTTTAAGATTTAATTTACATTTAATCACATATATGTTTACAGTGTACAGTGTTGCTTTTTCTAGCACGCATGTCAGACAAAGCAGACATTACTATACACATTATCATCAGCGAAGAGCTATTTGTTTTTCCAATTTGGGGTTTTTAAAAAATGTTTTATTTATATTTTTTATTATTATTCATACATTAAATCGCTATACATCATTTAGATTGTGAAGAGACTTCACCCAGCATGATATACACCTCACTCCAGCCCAGTCGAGACCACCACACACAACCTCGTCAACAGATAATAACCTTATCAGTGTCCCACTTTGTCATTTAAACATGTTTTTTTCCGTCCGCTGTTCCCCTCCCTCCCACTATTACCCAACCCCGTACCATCCCTGTCCTTATCATCTCCACTATCTCCAGTTGCCCTCCCTGCTACTGGACCTCCCACACTCTCAGTCTCTGCTATAGAGCACAGACGTTCTGCATACATGAAGTGGGGACGAAGTCTGTCTTCCATACTCTGACCTGCTTCGCTTAGCATTAAGTCGACGTCTTTGTATGAAGTGTCAGGGTCTCATTGTTTTTTACGGCTGAGTAGTATTCCAGTGAGTGCATCTGCCACAATTTTCAATCCAGTCATCTGTTTTTGGACATTTGGGTTGATTCCATGTCCTAGCAATTGTAAATAATGCTGCATTACTATGGATGTGCAAGTATTTTTCTGACTGAAGGTTTTTCTATCCTTCAGGTATATACACGTAAGAGTGGAATTACTGGGTCATATGGTAGTTCTATTTGTAGGCTTCAGAGGAATCTCCATATTGTTGTCCTTATGGTGAGAGATGTCAAGTATGCTTTTATATACTTTTAGGCCATTCATATGTCTTCTTCAGAGAATTGTCTGTTTAGCTCCTTTTCTCATTTTTAATTGTTTGGATTATTCTTTTGTGGGTAAGCTGCTTGAGTTTCTTATATTCTGGTTATCAGAAGGTATATACATAAGGTATACACTATACCTTATCTGAGGTAGAGTTTGCAAATATATTCTCCCACGCCTTCTCACTCTACTTTTTGTTTCTTTTGCTGTGCAGCGGCTTCTCAGCCTAATATAGTCTCATTTGTCTATTTTTGGGCTACTGCCTATGCTTTGGAGGTCTTCTTTAAGAAGTCTTTGCCTACTCCAAGGAATCCAAGAGTTTTTCCTGTGTTTTCCACCAGTATTTTTATAGTGTGAGGTTTTATGTTTAGATCCTCAATCCATTTTGAGTTAGTTTTTGTTAGTGGTGAGAGGTAAGGGTCCAGTTTTGCCTGGACCTGCTCAGCTGAACATGTTTTTCTGAGTGGGGAAGGCTGTTAGAAATAAACATAACAACAAACGCACAAAGACACACAAGTATAGAAAAGCAAGGGTCAGTTGGGTCCAGCTTCTCTGAGTGAGAAAAGCTGCAACTGAGACTGGCCTCAGGTTTATCCTTTTTAAGGGCAGAAAATGGAGGAAGAGGAAATGGAATGAAAAGCCAGTTGCTTTAGGATGTAAATCATCTGAAGATGTGAAAACCACTGGTGCTGTAATTTCTCTGATCTTTTTGGGGCCAGATCTGATAAACACATGTGGTTTCCTTTAACTTGATACTGCCCTGCAGTATCAGATATCCGGTATCAACAACAGGCAGATAGCATTTTCGTATGCAAATGTTCTTATAGCCATTGCTAATGAAGCTCATGGAAGCACGTTTTTTGCATGCTAAAGGTCACCATGTTTTCTCAAATTGGCCACTCTCTATAAGTTTCGTTTTTTCTGCAGTTGGATATCTAGTTCTCCCAGCACTGTTTGCTTAAGAGATTTTATTTTTCCCACTGGATTATCTTGTGCTCTTTGTCAAGGATCAGTTGGCTGTATGGTTTGGGGTTAATTGGGGGTTTTCAGTTCTATTTCATCAGTCTACCTGTTTATTTTTGTGCTAATACCATGCTGTTTTAATCATCACAGCTTTGTAATGTGTTTTGAGGTCAGGAAGTGAGATGCCTCCTACTTTATTCCCCTTCTACAGTATTGCTTTGGTGATACAGGACCTTTTATGCTTCCAGACCAATTTTGTGATTTTTTTTTTTCTGTTTCTGTGAGGAATATATCTGGTAGTTTGATCAAAATTGCATTAAATTTGTAGCTTTTTTTTTTTTTGGAGAGATTTTCGCTATAGGGCGCGTGCGCTCGCCAGACAGACAGAGAGAGACACGGAGACAGAAAGCGAGAAATCACCCCCTGGGGGGATGGTCAAGCTGCAATCCCTTCTCCTCCATTCTCCTCTCGGGATCTTGGGCACACACGCACACGCGCCCAGCATGAGTTTTAAGCCACCTGGTCCGGGACTCAAACCGTGGTCAACTACGTGGGAGTCCAGCAACATAGCCATTACGCTAACCGCTGGTTCCCAATTTGTAGCTTAATATGGGTAGGATTGACATCTTGATTATATTGATTCTTCCAATCCAGAAACATGGGATGTTTTACTATTTTTTGATACAATTTTTAATATCTTTTTTCAAGTGTTTTATAGTTTTTCTTGTAGAGATCTTTGATATCTGTGATAAGGTTTATCCCTAGATACCTTACTGGTTTTGTGGCTATTGTAAATGGGATTTCTTTCTTCAATTCTGTCTCAGTTTGTCCATTATTAGTATACAAAAACGCTTTAGGTTTTTTATATTGATTTTGTATTCTGCCAGCTTACTATATATATTGATTTATCACTTCCAGGAACTTTTTTGTGGGTTCTTTTGGATTTTCTATGTGTAGCATCATATCATCTGCAAATAGAGAGAATTTCCCTTCCTTTTTCCCTTATTTGAATGCCTTTTATTTGATTCTCTTGTCTAATTGCATTGTCTAGAACTTCCAGTACTATGTTTAAAAGGAGTGGAGAAAGTGGGCACCCTTGTCTTGTTCCAGTTTTTAGTGGAAAAGCTTTCAGCTTTTCCCCATTCAGTATGATATTAGCCATGGGTTTTTCATAGGTAGCTTTTATTGTGTTGAGGAATAACCCTTCTATGTCAATTTTGCTGAGTATCCTAATCATGAAGGACTGTTGTATTTTACCTAATGATTTTTCTGTATCGATTGATATGATCATATGGTTTTTATTATATAGTTTCCTTTTGTTAATGTATTATGTTTATTGTTTTGCATATGTTACACCATCCTTGCATTCCTGGAATAAAACCTACTTGGTCATGGTGTATAATCTTTTTAATGTGTTGTCGAATACAATTTGCTAGTATCTTTTTGAGAATGTTTGCATCCATAGTCATCAGGGATATGGGCCTGAAGTTTCCTTTTTTGGCATGTCCTTGTCTGGTTTTGGAATTAAGATGATGGAGGCTTCACAGAATGAATTTGGAAGGGTTCCTTCCTTTTAAATTTTTAGAAGTAGTTTAAGGAGGATTGGGGTTAGTTCTTCTTTAAAAATTTTGTAGAATTCAGAAGTAAAGCCATCAGGTCTTGGGTTCTTCCTTACTTATTACTGATTCAATCTTATTGCTTGTTATGGGTCCATTCAGACTTTCTATTTCTTCATGGTTCAATCTTGGTAAGTTATACGTGTCCAGAAATTTTTCCATCTCATCTAGGTTTTCTTGTTTGTTGGCATAGAGTCGCTCATAGTATCCTCTGATGATATTTTGTACATCTGTTATAATAATGCCTGTTGCCTTGCTGATTTGATTTATCTGGTTCCTTTCTCTGTTCTTCTTGATTAATCTATTCAACGTGTGTCAATTTTGTTTATTTTCTCAAATAACTAGCTTTCAGTTTCATTTATTTTTCATATAGTTCTTTTATTCTCTATTTCATTTATTTCTGCTTGAATCTTTATTATTTCTTTTCTCCTGGGATTTTTTGGTTGTTGTTTTTTCCAGTTCCCTGAGTTGTGTCATTAGGTTGTTTATTTGCCACTTTTCTGCTTTTTTCTTGTGGACGCTGCATTTGCTGTGTCCTATAGGTTAGAAACACTTGTTTGTTATCATTGGTTTCTATGAACCTTTTGATTTCAGTCTTAATTTCTTCTATAGTTATAAAGTCATTTAGGAGTAGGTTGTTTAATTTCCATGTGGTTGAATTTTTGAGGGCTCTGTCTGTAGTTGATTTCAAGCTTGATTCCATTGTGTTCAGAAAAGTTGTTGGATATAGTTTCTATACATTTGAATTTGTAAAGGCTTATTTTGTGTCCTATCATGTGGTCAGTCTTGAAAATATTCAATGCGGGGGTGAGAAAAATGTATATTTTGTGGTAGTTGGGTGAAATACTCTGTAGATGGGTCTGTCAAGTCCATTTTACGTATGATATTGTATAGATCTTGTTTCTCTTTGTTTATTTTTTGTCCGGATGACCCAGTGGGGTGTTGAGATCCCCTACAATGATTGTGTTGCTATCTATCTCTCCCTTGAGATCTAACAGTCACTCTTTGATGTATTTAGGTGCTCCAGTGTTGGGTGCATAGATATTTACAAGTGTTCTATCTTCTTGGTGAACAAGTCCTTTTAGTACAATATAATGTCCTTCTTTGTGCCTTGTACGTCTTTCATCCCAAAGTCTATTCTGTCTGACACCAATATCATAACTCCAGTCTTTCTTTGGTTTCCATTTGCATGAAATATCTTTTTCCAGCTCTTCACTTTCAGTCTATGTTATCATTGAGATGTGTTTCTTATAAGCAGCATAGAGATGACTTCTGTTTTTGTATCTATTCAGCCAGTCTGTGTCTCTTAATAGGCAAATTTAATCCATTACCATTCAACCTTATTATTGATATTTGCAGACTTATCTTTGTCATTTTTTTTAGCCATTTTCTCATGATATTTGCAGACTTATCTTTGTCATTTTTTTAAGCCATTTTCTCAGTTGTTTTTTGTTTTCTTATTTCTGTTTGTCTTTCTTTCATTATCCTGATAAATACTCTCCTCAGTACTTCCTATAGAGCTGGTCTAGTGTTGGCAAATTCTTTCCGTTTTTGTTTATCTGAGAATACTTTTATTTGTTCTTCCTATTTAAGGATAACCTTACTGGATATAGTATTGGTGGTTGAAATTGTTTTTCTTTTACTGTTGTGAAAACAACTTCCCATTCTTTCCTTGCCTGCAGTGTTTCAGTTGAGACATCTGATGTTAACCTAATGGGATAACCTGTCTATGTAACTTGACGTTTTTCCCTTGCCATTTTTAGAATATCATCTTTGTCTTTCATTTTTACCAATCTAGTTATGATGTGCCAGGGGCAGGATCTTTTTGTGTTGATTCTATTTGGGGTCCTTTATATTTCTTGGGTCTAAATTTCACCATATGTCTCTATATTTGGAGAATTTTTAGACAGTATTTCACAAAAGAGGTTTTCCATGCCTTTAGCAGATTCTTTACCTTCTGCAATACCCATTATATGGATATTTGGGCGTTTCATGGTGTCTAGATTTCTCATATGTTGTCCTCATTTTTTGGTTGTTTTTCATTCTTTTCGGTGATTTGGTCAAATTCTTTCTTCTGCATGGTCCAATCTGTGTTAATGCTTTCTAGAGAGATTTTAACTTCTTGTATTTTATTCTTCATTTCCAAAAGTTCTGTGTGATTCTTTTTTAGGATATCTATTTCTTTTCTTGTTTTGGAGAGGTTTTTGCTGTAGCAAAACCTGTAGGGTGTGTGCACTTGCCAGAAAGACAGAGAGAGACAGAGAGATAGAAAGTGAGAAGTCACCCCCCAGGGGGTATGGCCATGCCGTAATCCCTTCTCCTCCATTCTCCTCATGGGATCTTGGGCACGCACACACATGCACCTGGCGTGAGTTTAAGCCACTGGGTCTGGGACTCAAACCGCAGTCGACTCCATGGGAGTTCAGTGACATAGCCATTACGCTAACTGCTGGTCCCAGGGTATCTATTTCTTTATGAAATTCCTCTTCCCTGTCCCGAAATAATTTTCTCATTTCCTGTAACTGATTGTTTTCTCTTGTATCTCATTGAGTTTTGTCACTGTGAATATTCAGAATTCTTTTTCTTACATTTCTGTGTATTCCTCTTGGTGTTCATTGTTGGTGAGGGGCTACTGTGCTCACCAGGGGGAGAGTTAACACCTTATTTTCTCGTGTTTCTTCGAGATCTGGGATGGTTTCTAGCATCTGATGCAGTATTTACTTCTTCTATTTATTAGAGTGGATTCTGTAGTACTGAAAGGGGACATTTCATCCTTGGTTCCAGGTGTGTTTCTGCTGGAGGGCTGTGCCCCGGGTCAGAGCAGTGCCTTCAGGTGCTCCGCTCTCTGCTAAGCATTCAGCTCTTGATCAGGTGGCGGCAAGCTAAGAAGACAGAACTCAGTGAAGAGGGCCAGGTTATGCGATGTGCAGCGCATGGGTTGCTGTACCAGAACTTCCAAAGTTACTCCTCAGGCCCGAGGGTGGACTTGGGAGAGGGCTGCCGAGGACAGGCTCAGGTCTCCTGGTGGGTGGGATGAGCCCAGGCTGCTAGGGCACTGGGTTGCAGAGTGGCCAAAGTTCCAGAGTTACTCCCAGTCTCCAAGGGTGGACTCACAAGAGGGCTGCCAAGGCCAAGCTCAAGTCTCCCCGGGGCCTCTGTTATTTTTAGGCTTGATGAATTAACGTGTCCCATAATTTTGCAGGTCTTTATTAAGCCTGATAATGGGACATGGTTCATGCCTCCAAGCGGGTTTCTGTACATGATTTATGTGATGTCTGTCAGAATCCCGTGAGATGGCTAGCCAGGGCATATTTCCTCCTCATCATTGTTTGACAGAAAAGAGCATTTCCTTCAGGGACATGAGCTGGTGTCACGGTGGCGAATGGGGATGTCAGGGTTGACATTGACCTTCTGGCTAAATCCCAAGCTCTTTTCCACCTTCACACATTATAACAGAATGAGAGAATTCACCTTTTCACTGAGAAACAAAAGGAGGCCCCCGTTAACTTCTGTAAATATCAGGAGAGGGCATCTGGTACTGTTCTAAATGGTTGTGAGGGAGACACTTCATTTCTCCTTTGCCTTTCTCCTCCGTTCTTCTTTCTGCCTTTCTTCTCCGTGATTCGCACACGTGTCCATTTTCAGCATGTCAGTAGCACTGGCAGTTTCTGCTCCACCTTGCAGGTGATTCCGTCACCAAGCGTGATTGCCATCTGGGACTTCCCCATGTTTTAGTTTTAACTTTTTCAAAATAAAGAATGGACACATTTTTTTCCTAGAGAAACAGCAAAGTATTTTTTGAACGTAACAGTTACCTTAAACAGGCGCTATTCTCGCATTTCACAAATGAGCACTCACTTGGTCATCATGACAACCCCAGGCAATAGGCACTATTATTATTACTATCATCGTTCCCATGTTACGATGACGACACTGAAGTGCAAATAACTTCACTTACCAGAGGTCAAGACAGTTGCAGAGGCAGGGTTTGAACTTAGAGACTTCGGTCCAGAGCCCTCACTTGTGCTCTGCCGTGCCCAGCTTTGAAGTGTAACTGAGAGCTGAGGCCTTGGAGATGGAAGGCTTGACCTCCTGGATGTGATTTGGGATAGTTTCTTGATCTCCGAGACTCTGTTTTCACATCTGTAAAGTGTGAGTTATAATAGTGTTGCTCCCCATCTGTCAAAGCCCCGTTCTGTGCCTGGGCCAAGGCCCTGTGAAGTGGATACGGTGAGTGTAACTTCAGTCGTGTTTCCTTACACCCGGTGATGTCAGAAAACGTGTCTTTGTCATACTGAAACTCGTGAACTGAGGCGCTTCCGTTTCTCTGCTTCCGAAGCTGATAAGCACTGAATGTGTACCTGAGTGTGGCGACCACACCAGTCCACACAGCCTGCATCCTGGCGGAAGCGGATGACGTTGTTGTGCCTCTCTCTAGCAGGGCTTGTACTGTGACAAGTGTGTGTCACCCTCGAGGGAGCATTATGCTGCTCCCATTTCCTGGGCAAAGAGGCCTCTGAGTGTTGAGCGAAGACATTGTTGAGGGTCTTCATAGGAAGATGGAGGGAATCCAGGCCATGGGTGATGACGCAGTTGAGAAGAGCTTCTTAAGATGTGTTCAGGGACCAGCAAATGACATAATAGTTACGTGGCTGGACTCCCTGTAGCCAACCATGGTTCGAGTCCTGGACTCGGTGACTTAAAACTCACATTGGGTGCGTGTACATATGTGCCCAAGATCCCCAAAGGAGATTGGAGGAGAAGGGATTGCAGCGTGGCCATCCCCCCAGGGGGTGATTTCTCACTTTCCATGTCTCTGTAATTCTGGCGAGTACATGCATCCTCTAGCAAAAATTTCTCTCTCTCAGAAAAAAAAAAGGTAGCAAGAAAAAAAAAGTAAATGTCTTCAGCAAGAAAGACCCTCGTATAAATAGAATCGTCACATAGAGAAGATAAAATTCTGAGCAGTGAGGCAGAAAAACGCATCTTGGATTATAAGTAAAACTACTGGACCAGCAGCTGGAGTGGTGGTTACGGCACTGGACCCCACATGGCTGGCTCAATGGTTCGAGTCCTGGGCCCAGCAACTTGAGAAACACTCTGGACACGTGTGCTTGCATGCTCAATCCCAAGAGGAGAACGGAGGAGAAGGGATCTCAGTATGGCCATTCCCCCGGGAGGTGATTTTTCACTTTCCCTCTCTCAGTCTTTCCAGAGAGAGATGAGCTATGGCAAAAATCTAAAAAAGAAAAAAAGAACAAAAATATTTCATGTCTTTCTTCTGAGAAATACTGTGTCTTTTCTTTCTTTTTTTTTTTTTTTTTAATTCCCAGAGAGCATATTTGAGAGAGAGAGAGAGAGAAGCACCCTCCCCAGGGCCTAATCACCCTGTGACCACTCCCCCCAGCCTGTCACCTGCAGGTCCGTGACACATCCCCAGTGTGTTCCTCAGGCTCTGGGGCCAGGGCTCAAACCCCTGCATGCCCTGTGGGCTTTGACTTCTTCTGTGCAGTCCCTAACTGCTGCACTACGGGCTGACCCTTTATACTGTGTCTTTTCACTGAACTATTTTCTTGACCCTTGTCATTTTGAAGAATGAGCAAGAAAATAGAGTAAATAATCTATCATTGGGTTGGATCCATTTATTATGTGAAATAAAATATCGAGAACATCATAAATGACAAAGCAAACTGTGTCTACACCCAGCTGTTCTGTGGACTGGGGTGGAGATGACCGATTGCTGAGCAAAGCTCTGGGTCGTCTGGTAGCTGTGTGTCACTGGTTCACAGCGAGAACCGGGTGAGGACTTCCAGAGATGTGGCCGCTGTCAGTCAGAAAACGATCGTTTTGTAAGAAGAGGATGGGAGGGAGGGACAGGGCTGCCCTTCCTGTCAGCGTGCGTGTGGCCCGACAGCTGGCAAAGACCACGTACTCGGCCCCCCTCCTCCTGCTGCTTTCCGACCTCCCTGTCCTCTGGAGTATATGGTGCAGGACTTCCACGGGGGTGAAAGCACG